TGTCTGGAAGGCTTTGCACGACACAAGATCTGGCAACTGATACAACAATTGAATTCAAACCAACAGACTCATGACAAGTATCTTGCAGTCATGAGCCACTGCTGCCTGAAAAACATTCTGCTTCTGAACTTACGGAGAGACACAGGAGCCTTCAGATCCTCTCCAAAGGTTGCCATCAGAAGCATACAGTTAGTCCGGAAGGCTTTGCAAAATAACAAACAACCTCAAAACACCAAGATCTGGCAACTGATACAACTTTTGGGGATCAACCTAACAGACCCATGGCAAGTACCTTGCAGTTTAGAACCAAAGCCTGCAACCCCCTCAGAACTAGCTCGAGACTGTCCTTTGCTGAAAATTGTCTGAAATTATCCAAACTGCCCTCTAGACTTGCGTAGCTGTCTCAACAGCAAAGCCCCCAACAAATTCTAGGCCTCCGACGAAATTTCAGCGACCTTCAGCCGGCCGTCCTGTTGAGAAACCTCAGCGTAGATCAAACAGAAAAAATAGAACGCAAAACCCAGGTAGTTGACTGGAAAATCCTAAAAGGCCTATCACAAGTCGATCGCACAATCCGAAATCCAACTGTAGAAAGTTTTCTAGAAGTCAGGCCAGAACATGAAGCTTCGTTTCGGAATTTGATTTGGATCTTTGTTTCCTCTCCAAATCGTTGAAAACTGAAAAGGAAGGAGGAACAGACTCGAGGACGAATGGCCCGAGAAGTAAGTTCTGTTGTTGCTCAATATGCTTTTTATTTTGCATCAACGCGTGTGGATCAATCGCAACTGCAGGCATGCATGTGTAGTACAGCCACATCTGAAGCAGCAGCTCTAGAATCTAGAAGAGCAAACCTGCAAGCTGCGACGCACTCCGCAAACAGGGGGTTTATGATGGTGAAAATGTGGATATATAATGATCACACTGGTGCCAGCTCCAAGATAGAGTATGTTATTGTCTCAAGATATACCTGTGGGGCCTGCAGTGGACTCATGTACAACGCTCTTGCAGGGACACTCTGGTAGGAATTACGTCTGTGATGTCTATGTGCCATGCAGTTTTGTGCGGCCTGGGTGGAAAGTGTGTGTTTGCGTAGCTCCGTGCCATTGGGGAACGGGAAACATGCGTGCGTAAACGCGGCTTGTCGCTGGTGAAGGGGATAAGTGGTTGTTTCCCACAAGAGGGAGGAGTGCTCTGCAAGAGAGTCCCACAACAGACGTCTTTGCAAGAGTGTCCCGCGAATGCCCTACAGTGTCCCATGACAAGAGTGGCCTCACAACTGTCTTACACATGTCAAGCAAGAGTGTCTAAAGAGTGTCGCGAGTGTGACAGAGACCACATACAACAACGTAACACCAAGCCTTGTTGACGCCGCCAATCCTCCCGATCCCCAGCAACAGGCCACGTTTACGTACGCATGCCTTTCGTGCTGAAAGCCATTAAGCACACGCTTGCTTCACTCTTCAAGGCGCCTCCACACGCCTCCACCATTCACTAGCAACTGTGGCCTGTTTCTGCCACGATTAGTTGCAGTGTTGAACCTCCAAACTGGAATTGCCTCCTTGTCCTTGTTGGGTTCCCAAATGAGAACTTAACACGCCACCCAGGAGCCAATAGCCAAGATACCAAAATTAAGCAAGAGATTCCAAAAGCATTCAATGAAAACAGAAACAAATTCAATCTAGAAGATACATACGCCCGCCCTTATCAAGCATCTACTGTGTCTTCGGGGTGGAGAAGAGTAGGGTCAACTGTTCGTGACAAGGTACTTATCCAGTTCTGAATCTTCTTCAAACTTCATGTTCGTGTCACTCTCCAGTCTGTCCTTGAGTTGCTAGGGTCATGGCATATTTGATTCCAAATTTTTTCTCTTGCGACTCACGAAGAAGAACCACCTTCCAGAATCGTGGTAATGATTCTTTCTCGTTTGCGCTACAGTTTCAAAGATGACTTGTGCATCGCCTGCAATTAAGACAATCATGACTCGATTTTGCTCTATGTAAACTCACACTGTTGCGCACAACGTCAGACGGTACAGCCACTGTGCGCACACAAATGTTGAAAAGGAACTATATAAGAAACACCAACCCTAAAATACTTGAGAAACAGCAACAGAAGAAAGAAAATACGTTGCGCGTTCCAACGCCATCCGTAAGATGTTTCAGCGCTAGTGAGGCCCCTGTATGTTCATTATCAGAGGGGCTTGCAAAAATGACTCCCACTTTTTTTTGACTCTCAGTTTTCTTGTTTCTGACGCTATTGATACTCAAGAAGAGGGGGAGGAAGAAGATGAAGATGCTCTCAGGAGGAAGAAGAAGAAGATGCTCTCAAATTTCTTCATTTAAGATGCTAAAGCTGAGGGGGAGGAAGAAGAAGAATAAAGTGATGATGATGATGATGATGATGATGATGAACACAAGTCCAACCCAACCCCCAACCTCCAACCCATCACCCAACCCACAACCCAAAGCTGCACGCCAGCTGGTGGAGAGGCAAGTCCTGGCAATCACAGCGTTCAGTGATGAAACGTGTTATCACTAAAAGGGATCCACTCCGCACAGCTCATTTTCACCCTCACATCGACATGTCATCGCTTTCCGCAGTCACATCGGCGAGACAAATCAGGTTGAAGCCGCACTGATTGAATCTGATCTCTTCGTTGGGACCTCAAATCTCGAATGTGACAAAGAAAACATGTGACAAAAACATGTAACAAAAACAACTGTTGGACAAGGGGCCCAAATGAAAGAGCGGTCCTTCCACCCATGGTGCAATGTGATACATCTTTCCGCTGATTGGGGCCGTGGTATGGTATCCCACATCCTGACCAGGAGCATATGTGCAGGTTGCAGTCACGATGAGAGCCACTACCTTCCCTGCCTTGATATCCATCTTGTTGAGAGTCTGAACAGCTTCCATCGCATTGCTTGATTTGCTCAGCATAGATTCACACTGGTTGTACAAGAACTCTTGGGTCTTCTCCCAAACATACCTCGAGTCAAAAACCGGACCCTTGACACAACGGAGACATGAACGACAAAGGAATGCTGTCAAGTAACTTCAGTGTCACAGAGTGCCTGATGTTCTCCAAAGTCACACGGCTATCAAAATCATCACTTCCTTGGAGTGTCAGACTCATTCACTTGACGCACTTAAGAAATCCGACGGCCGAGTGACCCCGGTTCTTCCTGCGTCAAATGGTCTCTCCTGGATAAAGCGATCACGAAGCGCTGCAACCTGAAGAAGTACTCGGAAAGACTGAAAACCAAAACCAAATTCATTCAACACGACAATCATAAACTAATAGAATCTTGCAGCTGACACCTGCACACTGCTCCATCTTGGCCAGGCATGACATGTCATCCAGCTGTCTCACCAGCAACTCAAGCATGAAGGTTTCAGCATCGTCAAGGTCAGACATGGCTCTCTAACAAGACCTGTCAGAACCTGCTCGACAAGGGTCTGCGGAGTGAGGGCAAAGATATGGCACATCAAACTCAAATCGCAGTATTTGACTTTGAACATGAAATGCTCCTTTGACATGACCGTTGAGGACCTTTGACCTGTGACTTTGAACAGCTCCTTTGACACGACCTTTGACCTCTGACTATTTGAATCTGAATCTGAATGCTGAAAAAAATGAGTGTTCTTGAGGAAAAATGCGGAATCTGAATCTGAGATCGCCAACTTTTCCAACCCCAACCTCAAGATCCCAAAGGCATCATCAAGCGATGCGTTCTGTACAAATTTCCTCGCTTGGTGGATGACAGATTCAGCCCCGTGATGTCGATGCGACGCACATCCATCACATGATCAAACACTGAGAACGGGATGAGGAGGCTGACCGCATCTCCCTCCTCATCCTGCTCTGGATCAAAGTCCCAAGCCAGCACCTTTGATGCCGGTTGGAGCACCGAAGGCAACGTCAATGTCTCGTTGAGTGAGACATCGTCTGCAGGGATCCAGGCGCCGAAAATGTCCAGGACCTTCTTTTTGCGCCCGGCTCGCATGTTCATCTCTGGTGAACGTGTTGGATGGTACCACGCAAACCTTGGTTTGTGGCTGTCAATCAAACTGCTCCACCTGAAAACTTGAATTGCCAAACTGTTCAATGCCTCCAAAGAACAATCCCTGCTCTTCGCCATCGTAATTT